AATAATTGAAGAACATATATTAATTTATTTGATAGTACATACTTTAAGGGGAGCCTAGTTTACAAAATAGTTTTGTGAGTCTTATTTATATATAATAATAAAATCTGATGTATCTTCAAGTTGGAGATTATCCTTAACCATAAAATTGAGACCCGTTACACAAAGAAGGTTGAGATTAAAGTGAATCACAATCACTCAAAATGATTAATAGTCAAAATGAATAGAATTATGGCCACTTTCAATCTTAATCTCACCTTCTCTATTACATGTAAGAGATCTCAATCTTATGGTTAAATATCTCAACCTCAACCTCAGGATGAAGCAAATTTTGTTTTTTGTATTATTGGCATCAATCTATCTTACATCATTCACGTTGGGGTTAGCCTAATAATATTTAGAGATGCATAGCTAACTGGAATGTAAGTTAACAAAATTTCAACAAATAATAAGCAAGCTAAACTAAATTAAGTTTAGTAAGTTGGGTCTATTCAGTATTTATAAACTAAAGCTAGAATTAAAAAAAAATGCCTGAGAAGGCAGCCATAAAAAAATCTCAATCCAAACTAATGAAATCATAAATGGCTGGGAAGTGTTCCAGCCTTAATTCCTTCCCTTTCCCATTATCCTGATGTTAGGGGAAAATTGCTATTTTTTTTTTATTTGTTGGTCAAATATATATTGCTAAATTTTATATGTGGAATACAATGAATCACATACTTTGACACCATATAGAATGTCACGTCTTTCATTCTATTAACTTAGGCTAAATTATGACTGTAATTTCACCAAATTATTCAAGGATATTTCGAAATTACAACTTCATAAATTTAAATTTTCAAGTTATATGTTTCGGAGCTAAACCAAAAAGTCCTCTTAAATATTTTAAACTAATGAATGAAATTGTTCTTATAATTCAATTTACGTTGAGATTTTCAAAAAGAAGAAGTTATACATATTCATTCCATGGAAAATTAAAAGAACCATATCTGCATAACACAAGCTTTTAGGGCTATCAGATCTATAATCTTACATCTGCAAATTCAACTTTTTCCTCAAATATTCAGGATCGAAGTGACTTATGACAGGATCCATTCGCTAATTGTAAGTGAGATGTTTGCTCAAAGGTGGATAAGCAAATTGGTATGTTCTAAATACCCTTTCACCTGATTTTGCCATATTACTAAACAAAACTATATATAAAGTGAACTTCATTCACCATATGTACAAAATTCATAGGCCTCAAACAATATAACAAGTTTGGGCAAAACTTGTGAGTTCTTGTTCTTACTCCTTTAAAAGTCAAATCATGTGTCTGCTCCAAAGTGATGTAAGACACGTATGTAATCCATTAATACACATTAGTTTGATAGATTTAAATGACCAAAATACCCTTATTTTAGAATTAATTGGCAAAAAACAGACATGTTGAAAAGTGAAAACTATCTCTTCTAATATAGACTAGATACACAACCCCGTGCCAGCACGGGGCCCAATATCCGTTCGTCTCATATTAATTGATTACTTTTTATTTTTTACGGTACTGAAGAAATTAAAAATAAGAAAATAACTTTACTAATTCAACTCTTAAAAAACTTTGTGAGAATTTTACAAACAAATGTGACACTTTCAAAAGAAATTAATGGCAAAGGTAATATAGGAAAATTTTAAATAATATTTTGTTGATTTAGTAAGATGATCAACTAATATGAGACAACTATTTTTAGAATAATAGTCAATTAATATGAGACGAAGGGAGTGTCATAGAACTTGAAAAGTTAGCCAAATTTTTATATGATTTTTAAAAAAATTTATATTACTCTCTTTGTTTCAATTTACGTGGCATATATAGAATTTCAACAATTAATCATTTTTTATATGTCTTTTAAATATTTAATGTAATTTTCAGATCATATATGTTACTTATCCTGTCCCAATTTATGTAGCACTGATAAGATTTTTTAGAGTCAAGTAATTTTTTATATGTATTTTATACTTTTTAAATTGTTAGTTATTGTGATTTATAAATTGATACCAATAAATTTCAAATTTATAGTGTTATTTATATTTATACAATTTTTAGATATATAACAAACTAAAAAAAAGACATAATTTTTCCATATTTGGTAAACAAATAAAGTAATAAGCATTTTAAAAAATGATTTTGTCATAAAAAATAAAATGAAAGAAGTTATGAGGTATAAATAAAGAAAAGGAAATAAGAAGTGGGACCTATATTATATGCATTAATTAATAGAAGGAAAGTGGAGAAAAAGAATGGTCCACATGCATGGAAAGTAGGCAAAAAAATTGCGGTTGAAAAGTAAAATGTGGAAGGGTTTTTATGTCCCAAATTTTAAAAGTATAACTACAAAAAAGTGAAGTACAATATTATTCATTAAAAAAATATTAATAGTTGGATCAAATTGCCCTTAAGCTTTCCTAAATATGGCAAAAAACAGCCATGTTGAAAGTTTGAAAAACTCTCTTCTATATAAGAAGATATAAGATATAAGAGAAATAAATACATGGCATACACTCCTTCTCTATTCCTTTTTACTAGACAACCATTTTTTTTTTTAGTACTTGTTTATTAACAAACAAATCACAACAAACCATTTTCCTTTTAACTTGTTTATTAACAAACAAATCATAAGCGATTTTGTTATTTTCTTTCAACATATTTTACTATTATATGACTAGATAAACTATTAATAGTTAAATTTATATTTTCAAAACATAAGCAATAATATTAATTCATTACAGTAAACTCCTCATAATGTGATTTGATTAAAAAACAACAACTAATTTAATACTAAAAAATAAGGAACTACAAATTAGGGACGAATTATCAGGATATTTTGTATGCTGGGATCTTTTTAGTGAAGGATTATGTAGGGACTATCGATAAATTTTATAGCTAATTTCATATTTTCTTATAGTGTAAGAACATTGTTAGCCATGAAAAATGAATCATTTCTCACCAATATGTAAATAAACAAAAAATGAAAAAAATACTCTATACGTGTATAAAAGGTTACTCTTAGTATCTAATGGTATAATGATTTTATGAATATAAACAATTTGCCATTCGGCATTAATCATCCAGTCATTCATGAATTGAGAACTAATTTAATTCTAGTATGTGATACTAAGTGCATATGATTAGTTATTTAAGGTGTTTTCGGTATGATGAAACATATTTTTTTAGAAAATGATTTCTAGGAAGATAAGTAGTTTTTTTTTTTTTTTTTTTTTTTTTTTTATGTTTGATAAACAAATAAAATTTATTATCCTAAAAGTATTTGTATATAATTTAGACAAATATTATGAGAGGTGAAGATGGAGGATATGGTATGTGGTAGTGGTGGGATGAGGATGGGGAGCTCGGGGGGGGGGGGGGGGGGGGGGTTAAGATGTGTTAAAAGATGGAGAAGACATTATAAATATAGAATGCTACTTGTATAACTTATTTTTAATATGTCCATTAAGAAAATCATTTTCCTCATTTTAAAAGAACAAAAAACTAATTTTCTTAAAGAAAATATTTTTCAAAGATTTACATAGATCATATGAAAATATTAACATCCTCCAAATCGAATATGCCTTAGATGCATCAATTTTCTTTTCTCCAATTTCACATCAAAACTAAAAAAGAGTTTAATAGTATTGGGCCCGTGCTGACACGACAGCACCCCTAATATAGGGAATATGACACTCCTTTGCTCTCTCTGTTTTAAAATAAATAGTTTTTTTAGTTTTTCATTTTATATTTCAAAATAAATGGTGTTTACATTATAAAAAAAAAACATTTATGATGCTTCCAGTTTTACTCTTATTTAAATTTAAAAGGTTTTAGATAACCAAAAAATTATTCCCTCCATTTTAAAATAAGTGAATTGTTGAAACAATTTACACCGATTTGAAAAAAAGGTTTAGTACTTTCTAAGATGAAGAATTGTGGAAGGGAGGGGTACTTATTATGATTCTAGTAGACTGAGCCGTATTTGAAATGCCTCACTATTAAGTGATTGCTCTAAAGAGTCGTTTGATAGTGTGTATAAAAATAATGCTTAATAATGAGTATTAATAATATTTGCATCGGTTATGTATAGATTATCTTTTTATGCATTGTTGAATTTAGTGCATTAAAATTAATATGCATTGTATAAAAATATCCTCCATAATTAAGGTGAAAAAAATGTAAAAGCAATTTTGAGGGGTAATTTGGTGTTTAACCATGCTTAAATCTCTTTGCGTTACTAATACCTAGAAATTCATGGTATTAGTAAGACACTATTCAATACACAATAGAGTGTATAACTAATGCACATAGCATAGCATGAAAAAAAAATGCACCAAACAAGAGACGACTAATACAGAGAACTATTGTATGCATTATTTTTGCTAATGCACCCTCTACTAACTTCATTGTGCCAGCTCCTACTGCATTAACAAATCGAACAAATAATCTAATTCTGTGGAATTATCAACTTGTCAAAATTCATCTATATATAGACCAGAAGGGATTAATCATACTCCTCATGTAATGCAACCAATCAGAAGATCAGGCTTACACTGAACCAGCTCTCAAACTGCAAGGAATTAAACACCAGACCATCACAATTTCCTATCCAATGCTATATGAACATCTCCCAATCCACAAACTAAACTCATTTTCCCAATTTCGAACGAGCAAACTTTGGCCTATGAATGCCTTCTTTTTAAAGCCATCAAACTGCATTCATCTAAATCTATAACCAAACAGATAGTAGCTTGGAATTCATGTCAATCCATTAACTTAGTAAAAAATGTACACTCCCTCCCATAACAAAAAGTTAAGCTCTTTATTGGTAATCTTTTCCGTTCTGAGATAATTTTGTGATCATAATATCAGATACCCGCAGATCCTTCATCTTAGTAACTTGAGTTTATGGGATCATTTTCTTTCGAAATTATCACGCACTACAGCAAATTTTTAAAAGAAGAAACCACAAAGAAAGTATAGCAAAATGACACCAGATCTCAGTTTGCTGTACATAGCTCAAATTTCCTTACATCAAAAGAGGGGACACGTGTCTCTTTTCCCAATTAGAATCCAAGAGCAATGCAACCTCTAATGCTAAATTCCCTAGCCCTACATATACAAACAAGTACTAATACATAAACTCCATCTCTCCAAGAGGCATGTCAGTGCATAGGGCTTCCACATTAACTCATCCAACTGCAGGCGCTTTTGTCAACTCAAATCTGTACCATAAATAAGTTGGTGGGTAACCAAACACAGCTCTTGCAAAAAAGAAAGTATACACACCTTTAAACAGGGGACAGGGGAATATAAGATGCTCAGTTCCTAAGAGCATGACTGCCAAATAAACCACACATGGTTAGTAATAACAAGTGACATACCTTAGTAGTAAGATCCAGAACCACCACTTCCCATATAGCCACTGCCACCCATACCATGACTAGAATAAACCGAGGAGCCAACCTGAATATTCATCAGAGAAGAACAGGAACACCACAGTTATCATCAGATAAACACTAAATCTTCCAACAGATATTAACAAAGTAGAAGCATACATCACTGCCACGAGACATGTAGTCACCACCATAGCTAGACGAATACATTCCACCTACATCACTTCCACCATAGGAACCTACAAACCAAAACAGAATTAAGACAGCTTTCTCTATACATACATATAAAAACAAATGTTAAGAGAAATAACAAGATTTTGCAATGAACAAAACATACCTCCACCATAGCCCATACCCTGACGACTGCTGTATATCCCATGGGAATCTTGCCTAGAAATGGAGCTCCTGTTGCCGCCATATCCAAGATTTGATCTCCCGAGTCTACTAGTATGTACATCAGTCAAGTCAATCAATATAGTACCAAAGATTGCGAAAAAGGAAGAAAAATGACTGAACAATAATTAGAAGGCACCTGTCACCATATGCATCTCCATAATGGGAGCCACTTCCACTGCCTAATTCATAATCCAAACGAGCACGCGAATGCCGCACTCCTGCCTCAGCGTAGTGTGGATGAACATCATCCTGGCATGTACAGGAGACGCTTAATTAGTTCATATCTTCTTGGGTAAATCAGGAAAATATCTAAGCATAGTATATGGTGAAGATAACTCACCACTGCAGTGTATGGACGTTTCGAACCAGAGACAGAATCATATTCACGACCACGTCCCTCACGGTAAGATGGAGGGGGTCTTTCAAACCGTTGCCCATATCCATCATCAACATAACCTCTCCTTGCTGCAGAGTGAGTACCTCTAGGTAATTCAGGGTAACCAGAGCCACGCGAAGAATATTCATCCCTATAGGATATACGTCTGTCAGAATGAACCCTCGAAGGATACTCAGCTATTGCTCTGCTTCTAGAAGGAGAGATTTCCTCACGCCGTCCATACTCCCTCTTGAAGCTACTCTTTGGATATGAGGAAACTGCAATTTGGTCATTAGTCATCTGGTCATTTATAAAATAAGTAGAGTTGAACCAGTAGATTTTAACGAAAGACATAAATCACATCATACCAGGTGGTCTCCGGTCATATGACCTCCTGGGTGGTGAAGCCATGGATCTTCCCCTAGGAGACGAAGCCATCTCTGCTTGTCTATCTCTCAATGCTGCAGGTCGTTTGAAACCACGACCAACTACGGGAGGCATACGCGTACTAACTCTAGTCCCTCGGATAGAACGACTATATGGCGCTGTACGACCCCAAGGGGAATGGGAACCATGCATAGGCATACGCCAAGGTCGGAACTCTCCTCGTCCACCGTATTTCCCTCTACCCATATGCAGGGGTCTCGATAGTCTGGCCCTTACTTTAACCTGAAATATACAACAATAAGAACCACTCACAAAGATTCACACATACTCAGGGACACTTAAAGACAGAGAACGAACCTTGTTATCTCCTTCACCCAATTCCTCATTATTAATGCTTTTAGCACATGTAACTGCAGCCTCATGAGTGTCAAAGGTGACAAATCCAAAGTCCTTTCTCTTGGCTGAAGGCCTATTTCTGGCAAGCTCAACTTTTCTAATCTTTCCATATTCTTTAAGAAGTTCCCGCACATGGTCCTCGTTCCAGGATACAGCAAGACCATCAATAAACACTGTTTTAACCTGAACTCAAGAAATATTCCCCCACAGTCATGTCTTGATTTATCAAAAAACAAAGAAACAAGAACAACATACCCAGGGTAATCCCACAGCCACAAGTGGGGTCCGAGGAGCATGGCGTGTATGAAGACCTTACCCCTGCCTTGTGAAGGCAGAGAGGTTGTTTCCAAAAGACCCTTCGCTCAAGTAAAACCGTTCTAAGCAGTTATAGAAAGGAAATACAGTAGTGAAGAAGCTGTGATAAAAATAATAGAGAAAAGAATAGTAACAGCATACAACACAAACTGAAGCCAAGAAAAACAACAGTAAAAAATAGCAGAATAAAATAATAGAAAGTAACACTACGAGAAAAAACTAAATGCTCTACTACCTAATAACCTTCAACCCTGATCCCTGACCTCCATACCAACATGTGTGTTGTGTTCTATCTAATCACTTCTCCCCAATACTTGTTGGCCTACCTCTGACTCTCCTTATACCCACCCCACCATAGCCAACCTCTCACACCTCATCCACAGTCAAATAACGAAGGGTTGTGTAGCAATTGACTAAAAAGACTCCAAAAGCAAGCAGCAAAGACATCAGAAAAGAACCACAGAAAGAAAATAACCAAACTGCCCAGACAAAAAATTAATAAAAGGGGAGAGACAAAATTTGAACAGCTAGCACCTATCCATAAATCTAACTGATTGAAAAAGGAAAAACTAAAATACACACTGTCCTTACTTATTCTTCTTTTCTTCGCAGTAGGGATAAAAAGCAAACAATTAAAGGACAACGTAAGCAGGGATAAAAAGCAAATCACTGAATTATGTTGAAGAACATAATATAACTCTGAAGTCAACTGTGAAATATTTGGTTACCTCCAAATAAGCTAACGAGCACCAAAGCAAAAGCCTCCATTTGGCAATATACTATAACTATACTTAACCAGAGCCATAGTCCCTTTTATTAAAACATAGATATAGGTTCAGAGAGTTTACCTGTGACATGATTTCATCCCCAGGATCAATGAATGAATCCTCAAAAGAAACCTTTGCAGGCCTATCAACTCCAAATACAACATCTCTCTTCTGTAACCGCTTAAAAGCATCCATGGCCTCTGAACGTGAAGAGAACTCCAAGAAAGCAAATCCTCGATTCATTCCCTCATTATTAGTGTCTTCAACCAACGTCAAATCCTCTATATTGTCAACACCATAATGCTTCAGCTTCTCTTTTAACTGGGAGAGAAAGCAAACATCAATGACTAGTTAAGCAGCTCCTCAAAACTGAGAATCATGTATGTTGACAATATGATATGCCTAGCCTACTTACAGCTTCTTTTGTCCAGGTCTTGCATATGTTACCCAAAAACAGAGTATCATTGTCTTGACTTGGAGAGACACCACATTGTTTTCCATTGATCTGGAAATTCCATTGTCAGGAAATACCTTCTATGAGGAATTAAAATCAGTCACATAAAAACTATAAAATAAAGAAAATACCACTGGATTTTTCAGCTCAGTACAAGCTCTTTTTGCTTGTTCAACAGTGGCAAATCGCAGGAATGCAAATCCTTTATTCTTCTTTGTCTGAGAATTCATCAGAAGCCTCACTTCAGTAATCTCGCCAACTTTACTGAAGACCTTCCTGAGATCCTCCTCGGTAGCATCCTTGTCCAGGCCACCAACAAATATTTCAAATTCCTTCCGCTTACGCCTTTCTTCAACAACTTCATGATGTTCTTCCTCCTCTGCTGCATCAGCCATCTCAGCATGCTCATCTTCTTCATCACCCTCATTTTCCTCATGAACATCTTCAACATCCTCTTCCCCCATATCACCCTCTTCCTCTTCACCAACATCTGCCTCTTCAGGTTCTTCCTCTATTTCATTTCTCTCTTCCTGAACACCATCAGGTTCAATCCCAGTCTCATCATAATCAACTGTGCCATACTCTTCAGGTTCATATTCAGGGTCATTATCCTCCAAATCTAATCGCTCGCCCTTTTCATAGTGATTGACTGACTCTTTCAAATCGTCCTTCTCTGCCATGAGAAAAAAATTAACCTCCCAGGCCAGTAAATGGTGAAAATAAAATGCTCTTATCCAAGTATAACATAATCTCTTGCAAGTTGTGTAAGCTGTCAACAATGTCCAACTCTATAGAGACTTAACTGATCATCAGGAGAGAGATTAAAGTTACAAGATTTGGCAGAACAGAATATGTGCCAGCAACTGTAAGCTTTCCTTCTTCCTTCATCTCAAATTGAAGAATAAGGGACCCTTCATCCATCCCAGTTAAGCCTCACCTTTTGTCATTATTTCAGTGTTTTTGCCACAAAGGTTGTCTTGAGACCAACATGTGAGCTACTCGATGTAACGCATATGCCTCAACCATCATCTTGGAGATGCTTCACTTTCTATATGTTCCTTTTAATCGATTGAAGCTTGAAACCGCATACACACACATATATTTAATTAACTCAAAGTTAGCAGGCCATAAGATTTAAGTGATGCTCATAGCTCGCCCTCACCAACCAAGATATTATTAACACTATCCTATCAGAACCTCATTCTCTAGGGATAATATTTTTAAGGAATAATTTCAGAGACCTCCCTTGAGGTTTTGGCCTAGCTCAACCTACAGAAGCTGTTCAGCATAGTTTTTAAGGAACTCGTCCTAATCAACTGAAATTCATTTAAGGAATACAAAAAAGGGTGCAGTGATTTGTATATAACTTTGTATGACTTTTCTCTTCTATTTTTTTGCATTTCCTCCCTTTCCTTTTCTATTTGTATTTATTTATCATTCCTTCCTCTTATTTTATTGATCTTCAAAATCTAAAACCTTTTATTTTATTAATCTTCGAAATCTAAAACTCGGACATTTCGGGATGAAATCAAGTTTGCTTATCTCACTTAACAATCTAAGTAAATTGTCTTGTAACACATCCCTCCCTTGTGGTATCAAATATTACATATACTTCCCTTCTTTGACCATTGTGTGTAACAAAAGTATTTTATATTCTGAAGTAGACAAACTTACCCTTTGTATGTCAAAGTTTTATGTCTTCTTTTATAATAAGTACCTTATTTTCTTCGAGTTTATTTTATCCTTCAAAATTACTTCAATATGGAAGATTGATCATCTTTAATTTTATAATTGATAAACTAAAATCAAATTGACGAAGCAGTAAATGATCAGCTAGAGTAAAGATATTGAAGTCAAACTCATGATATTGCAGTGTGACTTTACAATATCGCAAGACAATATTGTTTTGCTTTTAAGACGATAATGGAAGATGAAATAATAAGACAATTATTACTTTTTTTTTCTCTATATAACGTTATCAAAACTTTGTTTTTTGTTTCCTTCCCGTGATTGGGTTAAAGAACCACAAAATGAAATATAATGTTTTTCATCCATAGAATACTCAATAATAGTTCAAATTGATTTAAATTCACCTTAAAATTTTAAAAGTTACTCCCTCTAATTCAATAAGAATGACATAGTTTGACTTGATGCGGAGTTTAAGAAAAAAAGACTTCTCAATTTTGTGATCCTAAATAATAGTTATGTCAAAAGTACAAAAATGTCCTTTAATCTTGTAGCCTTGAACATGCCACGTGAAAAGTTGAAATTAAATCGTTGCCAAAAAAGTAAAGAGATCATAGAAAATAGGTCATTCTTTTTTAAACGGAGGGAGTATTTAATTTGTCATGCAACAAAATATATATATGAAGAAGTGTAACAAAAGACAAACCGGTAACATTGTACTAACATTTCGTAACTTTCATCTAGCATCTATCTTGTTAAACTAATATTGTGCTTTTGCTTTAATATTTACTTTCTGGGAAAAAGAAGAAGAAAGAAACTAAAAGTTGACGTAAAAGGGGTAAACTTGTCCATTTCAGATTATAAAATAGTTTTGTTACACCTATTATCAAAGAAGGGAGGTATATGTATTATTTGAAACCACAAGGGAGGGATGTGTTATAAGCCAAAATCTCAAGCGAGTTCTCTGAATTTCTATCTCTATTTGGACCCATAAGTATTTTCTGACATTGCTCTTAATTAAGCTAAAGAACTCAGATTATATAACAATTAACATAGCAATTGTCAGCAGTTATAAGCATTTTAGAACAGGTATTAATCTAAGTTGTTTGGATTCTTTCGATGCTGCACACGTGTCGAATTCTCCGAAATGTAGCGGACAGGCGCCAATTGACATTTTTGAAGAGTCCGAGCAACATAGGTATTAATTCAATAAATTGTGTTTAAAGAGAACAGGTATTAATGCATAAACACAATTTGCATAGCTCTTGCAATACCATTAACAACTAACATGATTTCTTATCACTACTCTTATTAAAATTGACATAAGCAAAACCGTACAAAGAATTAATTCAAATTTTGCAAAATGAATACTTACTCTTCTCTGAAACCGCCCCCTTCTCCACAGCGTTCACATTCAATGCAGTTTCAGCCGGTTCCTCAGGCTCCGATTGCATGGTTTTCAGCTCAGGCTTTTCTTCAGATGTCTCCTCCACCTTCATTTCTTGTTTGAGCTCCACCGCCTTATCTACTTCCATTGGTTCCTCTACCTTAACAGGCTTTGCCTGAGACTTTGGCGTGCCACGAGGTGTACGACCACCTCTTTTGGATCCAGAACCTGAAGGCGTCTTTCTCACTGATTTTGGAGGCATAGTTTCAACAATTGATTCCTTACAAATCCAATGAAAAAACTAATGTTTTCGAGATGAATGAGAAGAACAAATAAATACTTTTTTTTTCTGCTTGAAAACCCTAGAACTGCTTTTAGTTGAGAGGCTTCGACCGGTGTTTAATGCTTTTGGTTTTAAAAATAAAAATAAAAATAAAAATAAAAATAAAAATACTGCCTTTATTTAAAAAGAATGACCTTTTTTTATGGTAATAATTTAATTTCATATTGTATCTTATTGAGTTATTGTATTGCATCGTATTGTATTATGCTAATTTTAATAAATACATGTATTTAAACAAATTGTATTATTCTTCTTCATTACATAATATCACATATCTATAAATTAAATGATGAACCTGAAAAAAAAGAGTAGTACATGATAGAATTACTATGAAAAAATAGGATAAAAGATAAATCATATAAATAAAGACAAAATGAAAAGAAAATATTAATGTACAATGTGATCACACCAAATCGACCGTTACATAAATTGGTATTTTTGGTGTTATCTAACAATGTATTTAAATGATAAGATACAATAGAATTTAAGTAACAATCAAAATTAAATATTGTTTTAAAACTAACAATATAATACAACGGGTAACAATCATCCAAACAAGGTGTTAAAGTCACAAAATTAAAGGACATTTTGGTACATTTAATATAACTTTAATTTGGCACCACGAAATTGAAACATCTTCTTTATTTTCTTAAACTTCATGTCAAGTCATACTAGATCGTTTTATTAAATGAAGGAATAACTAATATTTGATTAAATTTTATCACAACTAAATTAAAATTAGAACAAATTAACTACGTCCACAAATTAGTTAGTATGATATTGTTTCATTATAGTATGTTTTCAATTATCAAATGTTTACATTTAAAAAGGTACACTTGAATTTGCATACGTGATTTAAGGACATATGAATTATACTAATCAAATAACAAAGTTATTGTAACACTTCGGATTCGAGAAAGGGTAAAATTTCAGCCATTAAGAAATCTAGTGCCAGGACGACGGACGCCACCTATGGTCCATCGTTTGATGTACAGTTCGTAGGTAGGTCAGTGGTTGGCCAAGTTAGTTTTCTAAAATGTCAAGTTTTTTGTATTTTTCAACGGTCCACCAGGACGGTCCGTCATTCAATGCACGAGCCGTAGATAGAATTCGTAGGTGAGTCCCAGACTTAGAGAAAATTCAGGATCAAAAGTCAAGATCCACGACCTGGACCAACGGACCGTCATTGGAATCACAGTCCGTGGATGGGGGTCCATTGCTCAAGGCCACAGATCATGGCCTCTGATCCAAACGACTCCCTAACAGGACGGTCCGTGGTTTGACTGACAGACCGTCGGTCTGACCGTCGTTTGGGTCGACAATTATTATTTTTAGGGGATTTAGGTCTTTTCCTAATTATTTTATCCTAATACTTTGTCGTTTTACCCTTCACCAAAACCCCTATATAAACGTTTTAACACCCAAAATTTCCTTAATTGAAATCATCCTCTCAAATTCACAAAAGAAGACCTCTCAAATATTTCTCTCTCTACAAGTTGAAGAAGAAGGGATCAACCTAGGTTTCAAGTCAAGTCTCCAATTCCCCCATTGAAGTCAAGCTTTTGGCATTGAGGTATGATAGGTTTCATCCATGGATTCCTTCCATTCATGGAGTTCCCAAATTCTCTTAGTTTCAAATATAGAAATCCCCAATTGAGTTAGGGTTTTCTTCTATGTTATGGGTTCTCTTGATTATTGATTTAATTGATTGATTTATGATCTCTTATGTATGAATTGAGTTAATTTCATGCTTTTATGATGATCCCTCATGCACCCATATAATTTCCATATTTTCCAAGTTATGATTATATAATATGGGTTTTGGATTATGAAAGAAGAGTTTATGAAATCAAGCATGTTCTTCTGAAGTTTATGTAAATGTTTAATGATGCTTTGAGAGTGAAGTATCAACGATGTTGCTATTGTTGTGTTGTTGAAAGGATTTCTCATATACACATGTAAGCATTAATTGTGAAAGGTTTTCTCACATAATAAGGGTTCTTAGACTGAAAGGTCTTCCCACCTAAAATGAACCAATGATAAGAAGCTATGCTAATGTTGAGGCAAGAAGTGATTACCCATGCTTTCTAATTAGAATGACAAGAGGCGATTACCCATGTCATATAATATAAGGACAAGAGGCGATTACCCATGTTCCTTTATAAGCTAAGTTGAATATGACTAAGAACTAGTCCGTGGAAGTTAAGCTTAGTACCAAGTGGACAAGTGGCGATTACCCGTGTCCCATAAACTATGTGCCAACATAGGATTGTTTAGATAGACATTAGCTAGTGGATCCACATAAGCTAGAAGTTCAAGGTCCTTTCTTTGTCAAGTAGGACAACCCTTTTCGGTGTGGGAGACACCGAATTCCATGTTGATAGCTCACATGGTCTTATATGTCGGTTAAGGCTACTTCCCACAAGCAAGTTATGATGAACTAAGGTTACTTCAAGGAAGTATCTCACATATGTTTTAAGATAATGTTCATTTGCATTGATCATGTTTTACGACTTATGCTTCCTAACATTCAAGATTTATGTTTTAGCTTGATCATTGCATGCCCATGAAAATGTCCCTTTTTAACATGAACTATATGTTTTTATGCATGACTATCATACTTGGTACATATTTTGTACTAATACATACTCTTGCCTACATTTCCCCAAATGTAGGGTCTGACAGTCAGGGTTCCTCGTTTTGTGGCTAGAGGTTGCTCTGAGAGATTTCGAGCTTTGGTGAGTCCTCATGCTTCGAGGAACGGACTTTCTTTGTTTTCAGTCTCCTCTTATTTTTAATTTTGGACATGATGTATAGGCTAGGCCCAATTTCATTCTTATGTACTAGGTGATTAATGAGACGATGTTTAGATTTTCGATTTACTTTATAAAACTTTGATGTATTGAGCTGTCTTTTAAATATCTTGAATTCTATTTCTTATGTTATGAATGATAAGTGGCTTGTATGGGGCCTTTGGGGGTCCTATACGCCATGTTACGCCTAGGGGCTACCTTGGGTTGTGACAAACTTGGTAATCAAAGCACAGGGTTTAGAAAGGTCCTAAGAAGTCTCATAAGCCACTTCGAGTATAGTCTTGTTCATGAGTGTGAAGCACATCACATTTATGAATGCAAGGCTGCAAGATGTTTAGGAAATTCCACTTCTTTTATTACTCTAAAGTCGTGCGATAGATTTTAATTATATAAGGTCTCTCTCTTAATCCTTATTTGATGATCTATATGACATGACTACTCGAATAGCTTATACTAGAAGGAATGCGGGAGAGAATATGAATCAAGAAGTTCCTCCTCAAGCTCTTCAAGTTCCTGTCAATCCTTTGGCCGAGCAAGTGACTAATGCACAGAGTTTATAGTTGCTTTTTAAGTATTGGCCCAAGCCATGACGGTCCAAGCCAATAGGATGGTTGTGGTCCCCACGAACCCAAATGTAAGTACGACGGCATCTAGAGTGACAGACTTCACTAGAATGAATCCTCCGGAGTTTCATGGTTCTAAGGTTGATGAAGATCCCCAAGAGTTTATCGATGAGGTTTACAAGGTGTTGATGATCATGGGAGTGACGCCATTGGAAAAAGGAGAAGTTGTCTAATTATCAACTTAAGTGTGTTGCTCAAATTTAGTTTAACCAATGGAAGGAAGGGAGATCGGAAGATACGGGTCCTCTCGATTAGGAAAAGCTCAAAGTTGCTTTCCTTTCCTTGATAGGTTCTTTCCCCTTGAGATGAGGGAGGAAAAGGTGCTTGAATTCATTAACCTTCGTTAAGGGAGTATGAGTGTGAAAGAATATGCTTTGAATTTCACACAATTGTCTCGATATGCTCTCACTATGATTGTCGATCCTAGGGCAATGATGCGTAAGTTTGTTTCGGGTGTGTCTGAGATGGTGGTTAAGGAATGTTGTACCGCCAAGCTTGTTAATGATATGGATATCTCTTGTCTCGTAGTTCATGCTCAACAAATCGAAGAGAAGAAACTTAAGGAAAAGTATAGGGAGGCAAATAAGGCTAAAATCGAAGATGGTAACTTCTATCATGCAAGGTCCGATGGAAATAGTCGTTCTAAGTTCCGACAAAGGTTTTCCGGTCAAGGTTCCTCAGATTCTCCTTCTATGTTCAACAAAGAGAGGGTGTCTAACCCTAAGCCTCAAGGAGGAAGTGGTAGTGGGTCTTTGTTGCCTACTTGTGATAAGTGTGGAAGGAAGCACGAGGACAAGTGTCTAGTGAGTTCCAATGCTTGTTTTTGTTGTGGTAAGATGGACCACAAGATAAGAGATTGTCCTTCATATTGACACCCAATTTTGTCCCTCCTTTCTTCTTATTTATTTCGTTGGGCTTCTAAATTATTAACAAGTCGAATACTTTACATTTCACTATTATTTTCGCTAATTACCAATGTTATCATAATTATCTTTAAGATACTATTATTACTATTACTTAACTTTTATTATTTTTGTGATTATCATCTTTTATTCTCTTTTTGCTATTTTTAAATTATATATCTTATTATCAAAACTTTACTACTATTACATATTGTTGTCTTCTTTAAAATAGATTGTCATTACTTTGTTTCAAGTGTCTTACTTACTAAATTTTCTACATTAATGTATATTATACTAGTTATTAAGTTAGAAGCTCAAATGAATTAATTTAAAGAAGAAAAAAGGCCCAAAAATATTTCATCCATTCAGCCAATTTGGCTATTCCAAACGAGCAACCCATAAAGAAAATCTCTAGGCCCAAACCTTAAGCCCTCAAACAAAGAAAATCCCTGACCTATTCCCAATTTTCTCAGCCACACACGTCCCTTTCTCCTCTATTTCCTTTATGAAGCAAAACTCCAATATGATGTAGCCATGGACATCTTTCACCCTTCCATTTTGAGCTAAATTTTGTCCTTGTTGAGGCATCCA